ATTGCAAGCAGCAGTTCAGTCTACACACTGTCTCCAGACAGACAGACTCCAGACACAAGGCTGTCAAATGTGCTAAGTGTGAACCTGCTTTCATCTGTGAAGCAAAGTATACCAGTGCTGAATTTGGTCGAGCCTGGTGTTCTCTGGTAAATGCCAAGCCTCCTGTATCGTGTTGGGCTGTGAGCACATATTGAGTCGGTTTCTAACCATTTGTGCAGGCACATGCACATTTGTGGCATGCTAGAGGTCATTTTGTGGTACTCTGGCAGTGTTCCTCCTGGTCCTCCTTGCACAAAGGCGAAGGTAGCAGTCCTGCTGGGTTGTTACCCTCCTACGGCTTCCTCCACCTCTCCTGGGGTCTGTTTCATGTAGTAGGTTTAACAGATTCAGATTCAAATCCGCAACTTTAAATTATTCTAGCCAAAAGTCGAGAACTCTTGAGTGTTCGGTTTCACAAATGGCTGCTATCAATTATTTCAATAAATTTAATTAGGTCCACTCAGAGTTAAGTGTGTGCGCAACAAGTATGAAAGACCCTTATCAGTGGAGGACCGACTCAATGAGTCACCATGACAACAGGCAACAGGAAGGGCTTATTTCACCCCACTGGAACTAGGGATTTTAATGCAGCAATGCAAAAAAAAAAAAAAAAAATTTGAAAAGGAGAATGTGTTTAAAAGACAGATAAACAGTGCTACAGCTACAAAGAAAAGTATGGTGGCTAATGAGAGGATTGTTGTTTGAATTAACGTGTATGTTTATATGAAGTTGACTATGGCAGGCCATTTTTACCTTTATTAAAAGCACTCCTCTCTGTTGTTCCATTTGTAGATAACTAAAATAAGATTCTACCTGATCAAAATAGCACTCCTAAACTGAACTGTAATAATATATTTTCTAAATTACATTTTTGTAGCAGAAACTGATTTTGATGTCTGAAAAACATTTTTTGATCGTTAAAATAATACAAATGCTGACCAGTAATATTAGCAATATAGAGATCTGAAATTAATTTATAGACATCCAGAAAGTTTATTCTAGATTTCTAGAATGCAATTTTGTTTGAAATGGTCATTTAGACAAAGATATCAGGAATACATATTCAATAAAACAGTGAAAATATAACCTGATTATTTTTTGAATGGTAGTAGATCAATGTATCTATTTAGATGAAATCTTCTGGCAGCAGGTGAAAATGAGTCTAAAAACATTGTTCTATTATAGAGAACCTGTGGATCATCTCATGCGTCCCTCCTCATGTTGATTCGGTCTGCTTTTACCCAGTAAATAGTGTGGCTGTTTGCAGCTGCGCTTCGGATGTAATCATCCCAATAAATCGTTATTATTGGCTATTAGTTCCATAGAATGTTTTCAGATTGTGCCCGTAGACTCATTAGGTTGTTATCATCGAGTGAATCCTAATCCTTTCCCCAAAGCAGGCATCCCCAAAGTCGGTCCTCGAGGCCCCCTGTCCTGCAGGTTTTAGAGGTTTCCTTGCTCCAGCACAGCTGATTTTAATTGAAAGCTGATTAACAGGCTTTTTGTCTACTGCAATCATTATAATCAGCTGTGCTAAAGCAGGGAAACCTCTGAAACCATTCCCCCGCAGAATTAATGAATCTATTTATGTAATGTAAATATAACTAAATAATATAAAATGATCAGCATCTCGCTCATATCAAACAAACCAAAAACAAGTAATCTCATATCCTGTCAACTAAGTTGCAGAACTCTCTCCCTTCACTGAAGAAAACCTGCTCCTGACAAGGTTAGCTCTAGGGAGAATGTTACTATGGTGACTGAAATAGAGGTTGAGGAAACTCTTTTTGTTAACCAGAGAAGTCAGAGTTTCCCTGTTTTCACTTTTAGACAACTTAGTTTTCAGTAAACCTGCTTCCTGAAACTGACCCCGGCGTCTACTGGTTGTACATCGGAATTAGAGAAACTATGCTGACGGAGGGAGCAAACCTTGCCACATCTCACATTGATGTGCCATCCTGGCGAGCTGCACTACCTGAGCCACTTGTGTGATTGTATGTAGAGTCCATCTCATGCAACAAGTGCGAAAGCACCACCAAGATTAAAAAGGGAACCATTCCTTTATTGAGTGTGTCTTGCTAATTGCCAATAATTTCCACATGTTGTCTATTCCTTTTGCACAACAGCATGTGAAACTGAGCCCAATATAAAGGAACAGACGCAGGTGGATGAAATGAGTGATAATTAGAAAACCGGACAGAGTTAGGCAGGTGAGGAAAATGAACAATTGATAAAGTTACAGAGAGAGTAGAAAAGGAGACACAGGGAAAGAATTCCTTATCTGTTAAATGGTGTTAAATGTTCAGTATGGTCAAAGCCAATGTTGTAATTTTTTTAGTTGACTATGGTAATATGATGTGTGTTTTACAAAACAGGACATGTGATAGGGGATGAGAGATGAGAAAAAAGGAAAACTAGTAGAAAGCTTAAACCAAGTGAAAATGTAAGAAAATATATACTTACAGAAAAAAGAACAAATTATGAAAATAGAAAGACCAATTGAAAAGTAAAGCAAAAAGTCAGAATAGGGTTGGAGAAACAAGATGGAAGATGATTGTGGAGACTGAATGCTTGAATGACAAATTTTACCTCCTTAAATTGATTATATAGAAATGCTAACTAAAGTAAGGAGACAACACAACCCTGCACTTATTGTTTAATTACCAAACATGGAAAGATAAATTAAATAATAGCAATCCCTGTCTCATCAATTTATCCTTTTGACATCTAATTATTGTTTATCTCCAAACTGCAAATATCCCCAGATTTAATCTCACAAATCCTGTCACCTTAATTTTGTAAAAAAAAAAAAAAAAAAAACATAAGACCTTTGAATACTAAAGAAGCAAATGGACACTGAACAACAATCCATTAATTTGCCTCCTTTCTTTGTGGAAGTTTCTTCTGATTCTATCTGAATCTGGATTAGGTTAACACAAGGAATGTGACAGTTGCAGCACGTGTCCTGAACACATCTGCGTGGGAGGGCTCTTGAATCAATGATTCTGTCTGTACTCAAAACCATATAAATTTGTTTAATTTCTTGAACGGGCTTTTAATCACAATCTTCTCAGAGCTTTTCTTATCCTCATCTTTTCTCTTCCCCTTATCTTTAAAACAGCTTGTAAACAGATTTTATTTGTATTTTTTAGCAATAACCTTCTAGGACTTCACTGCTTTGGGAGGATGTCATTGAATATATTCTGAAGTCAGCAGTCTCACCCATTATTGTTTAGGTCAAAATATATCAATTTAGTTAAAAAATAATGAAGAACTAAATATATGTTTTTGATGAGTTGTAAGAGAGAATCATTTGCCTGATAATCTTATTTTGGAGCATGCTGAAAGGAATTCTCTTTTATTCACTTGCACATCTACTTTATCCATTTAACCCAAGTAGCCTACGCAAGAATGGCGTAATGACACGATAGGCCCGTAAGCAACATTATTATCTGGCTGGGCCCCATACGAAGTAAAGCCCCCCCCTCTCGGTATCCATCGTCGCAAACACATTGTACATAAGGGTTATGGTTTTAATCTACGCTCAATTACATTGCTCTTTTAAGATCTTTATTGCAGTTTGAAACATATTATATGAGTGTATTTTTTTTACCAACCGTCTAATGAACTATACACAGTTATTAACATAGTAATTAAAAGTACTACTGTCTGCTTTGCTATTGGTGTCGTGTTTAAATGGCTCACCATCATGTTAAAATCTGGCATGTGTTGGGGTATAAATACGGTCCGGTCAGACAGTTTAAAATTAGGTGGCTAAAAAAGGAATTTTTCACACCATTACATCTGCAAAGAGACATCCTAGCTCACAATTGCATAGGGGGCCTACCAGGAGTCAGTGAGGGGGGCCCTAAGGGGTCGGAGACCCCTGAGCAACTGCAGTCTCTGCTTACCAATAGTGTCAAAGTGGGGGTGGAGGTTTTACAGGACCCAAATGCAGACACAAAGCTTGAGCTGGTTACTTTAAGTTTTAATGACAAAAGTTTAACAGAAGAAATAAATCCACATTAAATCCAAAAATGCTCAAAACCAAGAATACTCACAAGAAGAAGGGAACAAAGTAAAGTCGACAAACCAGCAAAGACTGACTGAACAGGAGGAGATTATATGGGAGAGAGAAACAAAGACCAGGGTAATTAGCAGATTGGGAGCAGGTGTGAACAGAGGAGGCAAGAAGGGAGCTAGGGAAAAGCAGACTGACATAAGAGGGCAAACAAGAAATATCCAAGAACTCAAAAACAGTCAAAAATACATAGAACGCTAGAATCAAAATAACAGCAATGAAAACTCAAAATAAAACTTGAACAAAACACAAGCCATGACAGATATTTACGCCAGTGCTACATAATGAACATCACACCTGTTTTTCCAGAGAAAAATTCATCAGTCAAGTAAGTTTGTAAGGATATTAACTTAATTTCTATTAGTTGGGAAAAATCTAGTACAAAAATAAATACATTTTCAAACTCTTATTTTAAAGACATCTTGGAAGTAGGCCTACATATGTATTGTTTATAAGAAACAACTAATTTACAGGTGCTTTTATTTCTGATTAAATTTCGGTTGGAGTTGCAAATGTAGGATTTTTTCCCCCCAGAAAAATTATGAATGAAAAACATATGGAAGCGTAAAACCACAAAGCCATGAATGAACCCGACCAGGCATAAATGAAAAGAAGTAGGACGCTGGTTGCTGTTCCACATCGCAGCCACCAGGCGACAGTGTTTCTTCCCTCTGAGTGGAATCGCTCCCGTTTGGATTGTTTGATCACATGCTGGCCAGGTTTGAAGTGGCTTTATATGTCACACATGCGTACCGACAGAGTGAATGGAAAACGGGCGCAGAAGTGACTCCAAGGAGAGTGAGGCAGAGAGAGCGGAGAGTCATACCAGGGCTGATCCTCGGCAGCTGGATAAAGCCTTCGCAGGGGGGAGAGAGGGAGAGAGAGGGAGGGTGGATGAGGAGATGAACATGAAACCCATGGGAGGCTATAGTATCAACCCGCCGGTGTTCAATCTGTAGGACTCCTCAGAGGAGGCGAGAATTGGGCTCAGTTAGGGGAAAAGTTCTGCCGCTGTGCATTACAATGGTATTAAATGGATCCCACCTGAACAGCTCTGATAGGGACCCCAGTGAGGCTGCGCTCAGTCGCCCGCCGTGGGTCAGCACAACTTTGGGCTGCTTTCTCATCTTCACCATCGTCGTGGATATTTTGGGCAACCTGCTGGTAATCTTCTCCGTGTATCGGAACAAGAAGCTCAGGAATGCAGGTGAGCGGGTCCAATGTTTGCTTAAATCTGTAGAAAAACAAAAACAAAAGTGGATGTAGCCAATACTGAGAGCGCCACGCGCTCAGATGGATGCGCGCGTGATTACTCAGCTGCGACAAAAACAAAACAAACATTTCCAAGAGATAGTCCTGGTGAGCATACTTCCACTGAGACACATTTATTAATCAGGAAACAAGTTTATTACGCAGGCGCTGTAATTATACAATTGTATAAACCAACTATTTATTTTAACAAGCGATTTCCCTACTTTTGGTGGTTATATATATATTTTTTGTAAAATTATTAGAGCATTTTTGCATTATTTTTAGGATTATAAGATTACTTTGCTCTGTGCAGATATAATAATAAAAAAATGTAGGCATCAGCTTTTTTTTTTTTACTTTTCTGTCTAATATTATTTCAATCCATGAAGTTCCAGACAGGTCTGGAAAAAAAGGCATCATAATGATTATTGACAGTCTAAAGCCACGGGGGAAGCCCTGCGCTCACCCCACACCCACACCAGACACTTCGCAGCTTTTTATCTGAGTGGAATACAATAATTGTAGCTTAATTTTCCCTGATCTATTTAAATGTATAATCTAACGGTGAATGCCTTGATAACGCGAGCTACGGGTTATATTGTGCGCACGTTTTGATCCAGCCTTGTTTTCCTGTGTTAATGGAGGGTGGTAAAGCCCGCATTATTCTCAGTTAGAAGACTGAGCCTTGCTAAGAAAACCTGAAAGTTTCCTGTCTAGCTCAGGTTTTCTCAGGCTGGATGGGAGCAGCACTTAAACAGCTGTTGGCATTTGGGGAGGGGTGTTTTTTTTTCAGGGATGAACGCACTCGTGTTTCTTTTACTGCAGCAACGTTAGGGTCACTTTATATCTAGATCATGTGTTATAAAAGACATCTGCAACCATTAGAGGTAAGCCTCATATGAGATGTTTATGCAGACTTTTTGTTTTTTCATTCTTTTTGGTACCCTTAGCGAAGAAGTTATTTAAAGCCTTAAGGGAAATTTATTTCTGTGGTATGATTAATAGAAAATGAAAAAATTCAAACCTGTTATTACATTAGAATATATATATATATATTAAAAAATTCTATATATTATTCCTTTACTTTAACCATCTGTGGCAAAAAAGTTTGGTAATTTTAAAAACTCATTTAAATTCTACCGCAGGTCATTCATTCCTGCTGCCACCAGACTCTATAATAATGCACTATAACCCCAATAACTCCTGTAAAAACAACTGTGCAGCTACATTATAGTTTCTTTTTAGTTATTGACTGTGCAATATTCTTTGCAATATGCTGAATGTGAGATATTTCTACACCTGCATATAAGCCATCCGGATTGTACATATTTTTATTTCTCATTTTTTTATTTCTTATTTTTATTTTGTTTTTTCATAGTGCACGATACACCTTAATCCTATTTATCTTGATATACTGTATATTCCTGGATATACTGTATATATATTGCTTATTCTTAATGCATCTTTTTCCTCCTTGTTTGCACCTTCTGTAACTTCTATGCCAAAATGTGACGAGTGAATTTCTCTGCTGTGAGATCAATAAAGCTCATCTAATCTGATCTAAATTGAATTCATTTGGGGATTTTTTTTTTATTCACTCTGCTTTTTAATCTGATCTGTCTGTCTAATGAGTAGTCCATGACTTCTTGATTGCATTTGGAACAAAATGCAATCAAATTTATCCTAGCTACTTCTCCAAATGGGTAATACAGAAACAGGTAAACATGTAGGGCAAATATCTACTGATCATTGTGCAAAATCTCAGTATTCTATCTAGATGTGAAAATAAAGGAGAACATTTCAGAAGAAGTTGAGCCCAATTTAAGCACTGCAGAGAATCTTTGATACTTTGCAGTCTGTTTCTCCTCTGGTCTTGAGAGCTGGCCTTTTGTCCCAAAAAATGAGTTCTAAAAAGTATTGGGGAGGGGCGGCTTAGTGGTTAGGGCAAAGAGTTTGGAATCCTGAGGTTCTGAGCTTGAGCCCCACTCCCACAGACTGCCACTCTGGGTCTCTGAGCAAGACCCTTAACCCCACACTGCTCCCTGGGCGCCCCACGATGGCAGCCCACTGCTCCCCAAGGGAATGTGTTAAATGCAGAGGTAAATTTATCCAATGTGAGATAAATAAAGTTCAGTTAAATTAGTTAAAATGTGATCTAAAATATTTCATTTTAGCAAGTAAGCCAACAAATTTGACACTGTCTCTGTATTTATAGATTTATTATTGTGAATATACAGATTCTATATATATATATATATATATATATTTATTTGCAGAAAGTGTCTTCACTTTGTGATGATCAGCATCTGGTAAAGCTCTAATAAGTATCCTGACTGTTTTCTGTTTCTGTTCACATCTACCCTGCTTTAGAAAGAGCTGTGATCATTAAAGTGGGAAAAAAGTTTGGAATTTATCAAAGCCATGGTACCGCTCTTTATTTTAGGGAGGAAAAGCAGCATATGAGAGAAAGTTAATCTTGGAAACTGTATGTTTTCAGTGTATGGGTAACTGCATGTAAGGAGGTCATGATACAACGCCAGTTTGTGCTCCATTCTTCAGAAAAACTAGTGCTTTTTGTGTAGGTAAATGCTCCTGCTTATTAAAACTTATATATATTTTTTTTTTGAATCCTTATTTTGTAATCCTTAATATTGGTATATATTTGAAGATTATAAATACATTATTTTTTATTGCCTTTTGCAAATACAATCAGGAATATCGACAATGCTTGGGTAAACTTGAGAAAGTTCCACAAGATCATGCCTTTGGATTACAGTTGCTACTCTCCCTTCAAAGCTCTGAAGATGTGTATGCCTAACTTGAGTCTCTCATGATTTTGAGCTCAAACAGCAGCCAGGAAATTGTAAATGGATTGGCAGACATATTGATTGGCATAAAACCATCCAGTTCTCTCGTTAAATCACAGTTTGATTTACCAGACACATTAGGAGGCTGATGTTGCAAGTGGTTATTTTGCCACAAATTTGACCTCACAGCTTGAAAATCTCAGGAGTGTATATTAGCAGTTTTATTTAACAGCCAAGATAAATTTCATTTCCCTTTGGCAAATCTCTCCTGTGGCTAAGGAAATATACATATAATTTCTTGGCATTTGCTAAATGTTTTTAGAAACTGCAGGGCAGTCTGACTAGAAGGGGATAAAATAAACAGCAAGTAATGAAACATACTCGGTAGAGAACCTGGCAGGCTACTTAGACACACATTGCCGGCAGCAGCAGCACTACCATCCTTGCATGCTCAAATCCTCTGTTGGTGCATGAAACGGCCCATGATAAAGTGAAGATGGAGCCAACAACACATGGTGATTACTCTCAGCTGCACAAGTGAGCACAATCATTATTGTAGCTTCAGCTTACTGCCAGTGAATAATGTTAAATGTGCCTCGTCTGCTTTTGATGAGGGTATTTTTAGTTTTTTAAGCTAGACTTGAAATGAATCAAGCCAGGACAACCTTGTCTTAGGAGATATTTTGACTGTCAGTTGGCACGAGAAACACAAGAGTTTGGAGCGTGATCGGAGAAACCTAATCTGACAGCCAAGCATGAGTGCTGACATGCCACCTTGTTAGGCTTTTCTTCCCCATCTCACAAGACTCAAAGCTTCAAATGATGGGTGTCATCATCTGGTATTTCAATGGACAGTGAAACAGGGTGGATCATTTTTTATAGTTTTCCCCTGTCAGATTGGTTGTATATCTTTTGTATGCATTTATTTATATTTTAACCCCGCCGTTAAACAAAATTAAGCAGGAGGTGGTGACAGTTCAGATGTTTGATGTCTAGCCATTGTAAAAAAGGAACAGTCCCCACGCAAGGACAATTTGAGTTATCAACTGTTTTCCGAAAGTGCCTCAGTGTTTCTTGTATAGAAATCAGAAAATATATGATGTAATTGTAGCCATTTGAGTGTCAAATTTCAGTTAGCTTAAGAAGATTTTGTGAAAATGATGTTTATTTGATTATTTGTTTGTTGTGTGTATTCCCCTTAATAGTGTCACATGTAAAATGAAAATGCTTAGACTATGTAGGTTGAGCAGATGCATCTAGAATAAAACTCCCTGGTTGAGGTAGTCTGTAGGTCTAGGGTCGCAACTTTCAGTGGAAAAGCCAAAGGCTATCACCACTGGAGGTAATCTTAAGTGCCCTCAGATATCAACAGGCAAATCAAGTAGGGCTTGAATAATTAAGTGTGATTTCAATCTGATAAACTCACACGGAAAGAAAAAGACAATTACAAGAATTGTATTTATACAATTATTTTAAGACTTTGGCGCACAGACCTCAGCAGGAAACATTAGTGCTGAATTTTGCTTTAATACACATCAGCAGGTGTATGAGAATAGGGATGCTTCCCCTCAGGCCTGAAACTGGTGGTGGAGTGGAGATAGATTAAGTTGGTTCAGTCCATAGACAGCTGGTTGGCAAGACGGTGTGCTTTAGCTGTATGGAGAGATCCAGTAGACTGTGTGAGCTGATACTAGAGCTTTACTCGGGATCCAGAAAATAGATGACCAGCTTGGATAAACAGTTTTGCATGAATCTCTGCATGATGAGCAAGCATGTAGTGATAGCTAAGAGGGAAAACTCCCTTTTGGGAAGAAACCTCCAGCAGAACCAGGCTCAACATGTCGGTCCTCTGTTGGACTGGTTGAGATGTGATGGGGAATGCAGGAGGAGTCCAGGAGGAATCACACTCTGATAGCGACAAAGTTGAAGAAGCACCATGGAAAAGCCAGATTAGCCAGCTTAGCTACAATGGTAGAGAAGAGTATGGAGGTGGGTTGAATCAGGGTCATCTCGGCCAATCTTTGTGTCTTTAGTGACAGACAGACGTGAAGCAGTGAGGGTTCTATTCATGATGGTGGGCCAAGATCTGATCAGATCAGAGAAAAATTAGTAAGAGTATCAACAGAGGAGGATGGTAGAGAGGATGAAG